AGTCACCTGGAATGGTGAGAATTGTGTATGTCGTGGGGGTGAAGGAGAGATGGACGAGGCAGCATAGAAGACAGGGCAAGCATAGTGGAGACCAGATGTCCCACAGGCAGCATACACTGGTCGAGGGTGTAAGGAGGAACCAGGACTCATTTGAATCATCTCCATTCCCAGAGGGACATTGCCAACTTTAACATGAATTCAGTTTGAGCCAGAATTTCTCAACTTTGGCATTACTGACATTTTGGGCTGGATAATCCTTTACTGCAGGGTAAAGGATTGTGCACTATAGGATATTTACAGATTTTCTGGCCTCCACCTACTAAATACTAGTAGCATCTTCTCCACCTCTCCCCATTCTGACAATCCAAGATGTCTCCAGACATTGTCAAATGCCCCTGGGCTCCAGGTGAGACCACTGGAAGAATTCTGACCCAGTACTCCCCAGTTCTAAGGGAGAGATTTAATCATATGGTTCAATCAGAGGCACCCCCTCTGAGCTGGGGAAGTTTTCAATCAGACAGGGCAGGACCATCTATAAAGGCACTGGACTCTGAGCTCATGAAGACAAGAGAATTAGTGTTAACACTTTGTAGCATTTAAAAACAATTCCTTCCTCCATTCACTTGACACACTTGATGCCTACTATGTGTGAGGAACTAAGTACGCCATCACTGATGAGTTAGTGGAGGAATTAATTAGCAGCCTTTTCCTTCTATGCCCACCAAGGAGAGGGCAACATTCTAAAAAAAAACCAGTGGGTTCTCCTGTGTGGGGGGGAGAGGAGGAAGGTGGGAAGATGAGGGAGATGTTGAGCTTCCTGTGAGATGGCAAGTGGTGGGGAGGAGGGGCCACCCGATTGTACTGGCTGCCCTTGCCCTCCCAGTGCCCTTGTGGGTGGCAGCACCTTGGGGGAAATGGCTATGGGATGGGACAAAGATCTCTAGGTCCAAGGGTGGCCAAGAATGGGAGGGTCTGGAGATTTCCAAGAACTGCATGGCTCAGTGAGCGTCTGTGGGATCCAGTGTGAATCTGAGTTCTGCTCCAAATAGTCTGAGACTGTGAAAGACTCTCGGGAGCTTTGCACAACCCAAGAGGCAAAGGGAAGTAGATTCAAGTATGAACAAAGTTGACATTTTTTTTGCGAGCCCGGTAGGGTAGGGGCTCTGAATAAGATTTAAATGACTAAAGAGCTATAGTGACATTTTCTGCATAAATTCCTATACATGATATAGAGGTGAAGGCAATAGTACCCTGGCTCTCAGGGATTTGACGTCTGATTGAAAACTTCCCCAGCCCTCACTGTCCAGCATTCTTTGAGGACATTCTGAGTAATTCTGTACCATCATTATCTTTTGATTTGATCTCCACAACTGCATAAAGGTGCTAGAGTCCATTTTGTAGATAGGAAAACAGAATGGTTTAGTAATGGCCTAAAAGTATCCAGCACTAGAATATAGGATGCCCAAAACTCTAAGTCTCGTTCTTTCCAGTGCACCTAGCAGCCCTGCTTATAGATGGGAAAATGGTTAGGCCAAGGGCAGTCGACTGCTATCAGAAGGACCCTGTGATTCTGAACAAGCATTTCATCTGTTACAGGGTTTGTGTCCTCATCTGTAAAAGGAGAAAGCTACTTCAGTAGACAAAGAGGACTTCATGTGTTTTGTATTAAACAAAGTGGTAGGCAGACATTTTTTTGGCTAACTCTTGTCAGCACACTGCCCTAGATATTAGGGAGCCACCCATAACTGGGACAGTGATGATAGGTTATTTAGGAAGTTAGGTTAATTCACTATGTGTGGGGGTGATGTCAGGTGGGAGGTTAGAGAGGCAGGGTATCCACTCACAGTGGCTGCAACACAGGTAATGAAGAACCCATTTACGTAGGATTCATCTTGTGGGACAGGCAGTGGGGGACAGGGAGAGAAATAGGGAGAGAAATAGGATGAGGTTGAAAAACACAAAGTACTACATTCAGAGATAACTTGTCACTTTCAATCAAATGATTGTTTAAACTACATGTTCCTTGCATTGGATTAAAAGTAACTATATTTATTTGATCCTCCTGCAAGCAATTTCCATAAGAGTAGATTTTTAAAAAATTTTAAAAGAAATGGACTAGTTAAATGATTGCTTCTTAAAAGCTTTCTTTCTCAAAGGAGGGACACTGAACACTGTAGATCAGGATAATAATAAAGACCACTGTCAGGGGGCAAGAACACCTTCAAGTAATAGCTAGTATTCCTCTAAGCAGGAAGTTAGACTTCTCAGCACCCAGTGTTTTCAGCTTTTAAGTATCTTTGTAAGATTAATAGTACAAGAGTTTTGCAAGCAAAGCAGTCTGCTGAACTGGGAAATCTTAGCTAAGGCGAGCTGACAGAAAACATCAGGCCAAAGTGTATTCTTTTCTGCTCCAACTCAGCCACGCAAATTTGTATCTTCAAGAAGGAATAAAATAGGGTTGGGGCTGTGGCTCAGGGGTAGTGCACTTACCTGGCATGTGTGAGGCACTGGGTTCGATTCTCAGCACCACATATAAATAAATGAAATAAACATCTATCAACAACTAAAAAGAATTAAAAAAAATTGGGAAATAACTTCAGCGAGTTTTCCAGCCACATGTTCATTTACTTCTAGGCATTTCTGGTATCAGACAGAAATGCCACAGAGCCTTTTATAAGAAAAGGGCAGATCATTGCTGGGCACAGTGGTGTGTGTTTGTGATCTCAGTAGCTTGCAAGGTTGAGGCAGGAGGATCATGAGTTCAAAGCCAGCCTTAACAACTCAGTGAGACCCTAAGCAACTTAGTAAGACCCCGTCTCTAAATAAAAAATAAAGGGCTGAAGATGTGGCTCAGTGGTTAAGCACCCCTGAGTTCAAACCTTGGTACCAAAGGCAGATAAAAAAGGAGTGGCAGCCCTTCAGAAGTACTGCACTTAAAAGGAAAGGCATCAACTGAGGTGGTGATTGTTCTGAGTCAGGCCTGGCCTCTGTGCTCTCTAGGAATAATTCAGGTTCTATGCTAGAGGGTATGAATAGGTGGGTGGGAAATCTGGTCCAAGTTAAAGCCACTTAAAAAAAAATTTTCTATGGGGCTTAGGAACACACACCTATACTCCAGTCATTAGTGGTATAGCACCCCTGAGTACTGGGGGAAAAATTGGTGGATTGTTCATGATTTTTTTTTTTAATACCAGGGATTGAACCCAGGGGTACTTAACCACTGAGCCACATCCCCAGCCTCCTCACCCCCTTTTTTGAGACCCCCTTAGCCTCCCCAAGTTGCTTAGGGCTAAATTGCTGAGGTTGGCTTTGAACTTGCAATCCTCCTGCCTCAGCCTTCTGAGCTGCTAGGATTACAGGTGTGCACCACCGTATCTGGCCACATGATTTTTGAACACTGGGTAATAGTATGTTAGCACCTTTTTGTTTTATCATGGGCTTTAAGACACCATGAAAAATACTTGTCAATACCAAAGATTTCATAATCACCAGTCCCAAACCACCTCTGTGGTTATTGTTCTAATACAAACAACTGTAGGCACAACCATTTAGATATTTAATTTATTATTAAATTACATAACAAAGCTTCTTCTATACAGTCAGAAAATGCACATTTAGATGAGAACAAAAATTAAGTACAAATACAATAAAATTGGTTCCAAGAAGCTATTTTAAAAGCAAAAAATTAGAAAGTGCATTTGGAAAAGAATAGATTTTAAAAAATCTGTATTGGCATTTTTCATGAGAAAACATCTTCCATCATAGTAAAGTGTAATTGGAATTGATTTCCCCCTCTCAAAGAGCAAACAGGATGGAAATGGATGAAATAATTTGATACTAACATCAGATCTTAGGTTAGATACAAAGAAAATGAGAAAGATCCCTTAAGACATGGCTCAGCTTTGTCTCAGCTTCTTACCCAATAAACATTCTTAAAATTTACTTGTTCCTTCCTCATTTTCTTTCTCCCTATGAAACTTTAGGGTATATAGATTTATTAAGGAATAAACAAGATTAGTTTGTTAAGATGATGAAAAGTTATGCATCATTTTGGAGACCAGGCTACATAACTTCTGGTCTAAAAGGAGAATGAAATAGTCATTGTAATCTGCAGAATCCATTTGTTCTTTAGTTAGATTTGCCACCAAACTCAGGGTAACACTGGACATGGTCATTTATCCTCAACAGCTTACTTTAATATTACAAGTTAGAAAACTCAAATCAATTTCCAGAAATTATATCTAGCTAACTAGGAAACACAAGTTCCTAAAAGTCATTTCCATCGAGTTGGGATCATTAACAGTGAAACATAAAATTCATGGGCAGGGAAATGAAATTGTAAGGTGCGTCAATTTCACAGGGGCTGAGTTTTGTACCCAAAGGCCTAGTAAATGTCTTTTTATTCTCTTCAGAAGTGTTCACAGCCAAAATGAGAGAACTAAGTAAATATTATTTGGCTCCAGGTACAAAAAGTACCCTCAAGGTGTCTCCTCATCTGTCTCCTTTCTCAGGAGTTTACTCCCACGTTTGGTCTGAGTATGGGGCAGTATGGAAAAAGTCATTATCTTAGAAAGTGAATTTTAGTAAAAGAAAAAAGGAACAGTGGAAAAGGAAAGCCCTTTTCAACATTGGAAAATTTAAAAAGTGAGCAATGCAGGTTACAGGGAGTTCTCCAGGATCATTAATAATAACAAAAAGAATGTGGACATTTCCAGGATGGATAACCCGTAGTACTTGGGTATCTGAGCTTGAACTTGAACTTCAGCAATAAGTTAAATATTTTCACTAAGGTCATCAATATACATTAAAAAAATCTTAAGAAATATGCCATTCTGAACCAGGCACAGTGGCACATGCTTATAATTCCAACTTCTCAGGAGGCCAAGGCAGGAGGACTGCAAGTATGAGACAAGCCTGGGGAACTTAGCAAAACCCCATCTTTTTAAAAAAGGAAAGAAATAAAAGAAAAATACACTGAACATTTTTGCCTTTTTGTTGCCATTGTTTTTCACATTTTTTAATAAAATGAAGTTCTGAATGGTTAGTAAAAAGATCCAAAATGGAAAGACTTATACAAGACAATGGCCAAAGGGGCAAAACTTTCCTAAGAGGCAACATTTCACTGGGACCAGAAATAGGAAATTCCTTCTGACCTCACCTGGGCTTGACTGGCTTTAATAAGTAACTAGCTGTTGGCTCCTGACTCTAGCAACTGCCCTCTAAGGAAGATAGCGAAAAGGGGGAGAAAAGCAAGATGACTTAAAAAAAAGAAAGAAAAGTTTAAATGGCATAAGACTGAAATTCAAATCAGCAGTTTCAGGATCCAAATTAAGATCCTTTCTGCAAGAAACACATCTCCATTTCCTTTCTGCAAACGAAGGCAGGAACTGAAGGGGAAGGCAAGAGCACTCTTCTACCCATGTACTCACTCTCCTAGCTACCTGGGGCACCTCACTATGGGTGACAGCACTGGGAGGTTAGTCAGACCCATCTGACACCAACATCTACACCAAACCTTTTCAACTTCCTTGGAAGAACTAGTTTCTTTATTTTCATAAAGAAAATAATCGACATAATTCTTTTACTTCATATAAGCACAACCGTCCTGGAAAGGCTCCTCAGCCATCAGCTGCAGCAAGCTAGATTAGCTGTGTCTTACTTTTACTCTCACACAATCAACTTTAATGAATGAACCAAGTAATCAGACCAGTAAAAAAGACTGGTAGCATAATTAAATAAATAACTTTATTTATGATACTTCAGATTTTATAAATGCCAACTATATAGCAACCAAGGTCCCACAAATTCTAATTGAGGCACAACTACCAATCAAGGCCCTTTGAAAAATCAAAGATAATAGTTTCAGGGGAGAGAAGTTTTGTTTTCCCAAAAGAGAGTTTAACAAATGAACTTACTTCCCCGATCCTTTAAGGTTCACAATGGGAAAACTTAACTTTCTTTTAAGGGCATCCCCAGTCAATGAACTGATCAGTCAACCCATATTTATAAAAATAAACCCCATAGTTAAGAAAAATATATCAAATGCCCTTCATACCCAGAATGTAATAAAACTTTGACACCAGAATGATAAATCTCTCAGCCAGTCCGATGTTAAGTCTACCCATGAGGCAGTTCATCAAGTCCACCTGAACAGCAGCATATACACACCATAGCGAAGAATGACAAGCTAATGTCCTCCTTCCCTGTGGCACAGTCTGAAGATGATATAAACATCGTGGTAAATTTCAATGGGGAAGAGCAGCAGCCTTCTCTCGGTAAGGAGTGTAGATGTTAGAAGTCTTTAAACTACCTGGTAGTTCAGTAAGATACGTAATGAATTTACAGAAACTGAGAAATGGTTAATCTGGGAAAGAATTCTGGTGAGTAGTTTACATTTCTGTCACTGTCCAGGGATGGTAATAGAAGATAGGTGCAGTTAGACAGATTCTGTCACAGGCACCTTTGACAGTGAAATCATTCTCTGGATGTCTGGAAAAGCTTAAGAGATTTGGAATGAATAGATTTTCACAGAACACAGAATTCCTGACACATCAGGCAGTAGTTTTTAAACTTTTGCTCCTAAGTTGTGGAGCATTTACAAAAGGATTATCTGGATAGTGACTTCTGAATGTCTTTTTGTATTTTGTTTGTCGAATAAATCTCACTGAAAATTGAGCAGTGCCCCTGCCTCCAGTTACCAGTGTTAATGCTGACAATAATAGGGAAAAATTGGGGGTGTTACAGACATTGGCTATTAGTTTCTCTCTTTCAACATGGTAGAATTAAGGTTTCATTATTTTATAGTAGTAGTTGTAGATTTCATTATCTTGTAGTGGAAGAAAAAAACCCCAAAAAGTAAAGCAATTTACTTAAAAAGAAAAAAAAAAAAAAAGGTCTGTCATTCTCAATGTTTTTCCAGCAATATAGTCAGTGTACTCAGAATTTTTAAAAAGAAAACACAAAAGCTTTTTTGCTGTGTTCTCCATTTCAGACAACCTCAAACATGCTGTTGTTGGCTTATCAGCATCTCAAAAGAGTCTGTGAAAAAATGGAGTTTTCCTTGAATATATATTAAAAAAAACTGGGGACAGAGATAGGAATCTATAGCCCAGATTATCAGGGAAAGACTTGTGATTTCTCATCTTGAGTGTTAGATAAAAGAACAAGAATTATTTTTATTCACAACCTAATCAGGTGGCTGAAAGAAAAGCAGTCTTTGGACGCAGAGAAACCTGGCATTTTGAAGAATCCAGCCGTAAGATCTGGCTTGTCCTCAGGATTCAGCACTGTCACTGAAGCACGGAAGTTCTGTTTTTGATTGGTTTACTTACCTCGTAGGGAGACAAAAGCAACTAAATCCCCCCTTCTTTTTTTTTTTTTTAACTAAAAAATGGGGAAATGTGTGTTAGAAAAGATAGCACAGAAAAATCTGTGGCTTTAGTACCACCTGACCATGTCACAGAGCCATACTATTACTTTGAATTCATCTGGTGGTCAGATTAATTGTCAGGACGGTCAACTTCTTCCTACTTTTCCTTATTCCAGATCAGGGCGTGAAAGTGGTGGTCGTCAAGAGTCCATGGAGATGTCCCATCAATGGAAAGCATACAGCAGCAATAGGATGGTGCAGACACCAATCACACCACCTAGAATGAGGGAGTCTCGCCGCTTCCTAAGATTGATCCTCTGGATCAGGCTGTTCACAGCAGGAAAACGATCTTTGGGAAATCTTTATTAAGGTCATATTTGAAAGAAGTCTCTTTGTTGAAAAGTCACAGGAATTAAAAGAATAGCCATGAGTGGAGTCCAGAAAGAAGAAATGATGAGAGGAAACAAGGGGGGAATCATACTCAGGGAGTCTTTAGCAAACACATATTCCAAAACTGAGACAAAGGCGCTAAGCACCTCAGTGAGACCCTGTCTCTAAATAAAATAGAAAATAGGAGCGGGGAAGTGGCTCAGTGGTCGAGTGCCTTAGAGTTCAATCCCTGGTATCAACAACAATAATAAAAGGTCAGGGGAGTGCAGTACTACCAGTCTTATGTCTAACATACAAATGAGAATAATAAAAAGAAAAAAAAATAATAGAAAAAGAAAATAATGATGATTGTCCTCGTGTACAATGGGATTACTGTCAAGCTTCAGGTCAGGGTGGGAGCTAGTATGGAGGAGCTACCATCTCTCCTCCCTCATCCCACTCCCCACTTTTCCTCTCTCCTGTTGCACCCCACTGTCTTCTTTCAGGAGACTGGGAAGTTCTGCCTGCGGATTTTGAAGAAAACCTGATCCTTTCTCCATAGAGAAATAACTATTCTTGCATTCAAGCAGCTGATTGAAGCCAATCTTGGGGTCTATATAATTAGGTATTGGTAAATTATTTAAAATTGAAAATTTACTTTTTAGCAATATAGGCAGAAAATGGGTTAAAATGCTCTTGTCTATTTAGAGAACATTAAGAAAGATGAGAAATTTTCAATTTGGGGGGTTTTATAATAGTTATAATTATATTTTACTTAGTATTTCAATTTATCGTCATACTCTTACTTGTTTGTATGTTGTTGACCAAAGTGCCCAAACTGTATTTCTGGCAATGGTTTCTGACAATACAGAGGAATCCTCTTTGTTTATCAGAGGTATTATATCAAGTTCAGGAAAACCAATGACACAACCCACCAAGGATATTAGAGATCTGGAATAATCCCCGCTCCTTGAGAGTCTTTACTGTGTTTTTCTGTAATAAAATGACTCTGATCATGGATTACATTTGTGTACATATATAGTCTACATGCTATATGATCATGTCTTCTAATCCTGAAATTTCCTTAATGTCTATAGAATACATACTATAGGCATTAATGTATTTTTTAATTAAAGAAAAAATACAATTGGAAGAAATTATTTTAAAGATGTATAAAAGGAAACATGTACTGAAGTCATAAAATCTTTTTTACAAGGTAAAAAATTTCAGAGAGAAAATGCTTAATTTTTTTTTTTTTAGTTAAATAATGATAAACAAATCCATTGAGATTATGGTACAATTTTGATTTCAGAAAACTATCTATAGTAGATATAGTTTTTCCCAGTTTACCTTTAGAAATCATCCCTCTTTCCTATAATAATCTAGTTCAGTGCATGTAATAAGGTGGGGCTGACCCTGCCCTCTGCCATCAAGAGTACATATAATGTTGGGTGCAGTGGCACACGCCTGTAATCCCAGCGGCTCAGGAGGCTGTGAGGGAGGAGGATCATGGATTCAAAGCCAGCCTCAGCAATAGCGAGGCGCTAAGCAATTCAGTGAGATTCTGTCTCTAAGTAAAATACAAAATAGGTCTGGGGAAGGGGCTCAGTGGTCAAATGCTCCTGAGTTCAATCCCTGGTACCACCACCACCAATAACAAAAGTCATACAAACTCAGAATTGGTAAGACAATCCCTTCCCTTGGCCAATGACTGGGTTAGAAAAGGGCAGTAATTCAAGATGGGGCAACCACAGTCCTCATTGGGGCTTTTGTGACAGCTGTTGAGAAAGGACATTATTTTCCCCAATCTTTTGATTTGGTGTTAAGAGTCATCTCTATCATCATAAGGAAATGCCTGCCTGAGAGTAATTTTATCCATTATATTAGAAGGCTAAGGAGGACTTAATTAAACCCAACTACAAAAAATCCTGGCATATTAACAGAAGAAAGCTGAGTTATGAGAGGGGAAGGGAAGGTAAAAAAAAGAGAAAAGGAAGATTTCTGATGATAAAATCTGAGCTTGTGAATCCAGCATGTCTGAAACCAGACTCTATCTCTGGAATTTATAGTTAATAATTTATAGTTAATTCCCCTCTTTTCTCTTTAAGTCAGTCTGAATTAGGTTTCTGTTGTTACTCTACGGTGTCCTGACATTTTGTTTGATTGTTTTTTGCTATTCTAGAATGAAGTATAAAATTCCTGGGTTGCTCCTCTGTGCCAGACACTATTCTGGGCTTTGGGATACTTTATTGTCTTAAGAGAACTTAGGGTCCAATAGAGAAGAAAGACATTCAGACTAGAGAAGAAGGCATTTAGAACAATGGGGACAAATTCTAATGGACAATTTAGACAGGTTTTAGTGAGTATTACAAGTAATCCAGCTATCCAACCTCCACTTCCATTTAAAAGTTTCAGTGGTTTCACTCAAAACAAACTTACTTGCTGACAACCAAGTTCATCATTTAAGGATACTAGGGCTGAGTGTGGTAGCTCATGCCTATAATCCCAGCAACTCAAGAAGTGGACATAGGAAGATCTGAAGCTCGAGGCCAGCCTTGGTAACTTAGCAAGGCCCTAAGTAACTTAGTGATACCTGGTCTCAAAATAAAAAATAAGGGCTGGGGATATGGCTCTATGGTAAAATGCCCCTGGGTTCAATCTCTAGTACCCCCCCCATACAAAAAAAAAGACACCAGGATTTCATGGAAAATGCAACGGGAACTTAAAATTTGAATCTCTAATTTGTTCTTTACTAACTGTAGACCTGGGCCAAGCTACTTTTCTAAGCCTAATTCTTCATTTGCAAAACAATAATAATTTCTGCATTTTCTCTTTTATGCTGATGATAAAATAATGCATGTAACAGCATATAGTATCATATAAATAATAAACAATATTGAATGTGCAGTTTATGCTAGGGTAACAAGAAAAAAATCCAATAAAGATTGGAAAGTAACAATAAACTCTAAGATATCCTTTTCCTTAAGCAAATAAGTATTCATGATCTTAAATAGGTAGAAGTGACCTTGAATTATCTAGGACTAGAATATACTCAACCTTTGAAAATTACAGGTCTTCTCCACAATTTTTGGAAAAGAAAGATTTTTTTCCCTAAGCTTGTCTTCTCTGAGAGTAAGTAAAGTGCTTCTAAGTGGTAGGCTTCTCAGTTTCCCTACTGGGCTTCTTGGAAGTATAATTAACAATCTGAATCTGGGAAACTGAATAATTTAAGAAGTAGAGGTCACAATAAATAAGTTGGGCACTTATCCTGGAATTCAACTTGTGCATGCAGAGTCACAACACTTCTATCAGCAGTTACAACTCATCTGAGTATATGGCTATCTTCTTCTAAGCATCTAACACTGACTCATTCTCCAAACTGGATAAAAAAATATAATTTATGATGTTTAGATAATAATAGTGTATATTATGGAGTCCTACCATAGATTCAGTACATTTAAATGTAAAGATAATTTTGTGAACAATTCAAGTTTTTTTCCCCCTAAATTTACTAGCACTAAACCCAGGTGATACTTTCAGCATGAACTTTCACAAATTAGAAAGTATTTGTCCTATGTAATTACTGAGAGGCTCTACTGATGTCAGTTACCTCCCACTACCCACCTGCAAAAAAAAAAAGAACAGGTGTACTCTTCTGTCCACCCCACAAAGCAGATTTCAAACTTTCAAAAAGGATACTGGCCAAAGTGTTCATTTTGCTGTGAATTGACTTTAACATTCCTCTCTGTGAAGTCATATTTTCTTTCGTTGCCATAGCAATGCTTTAAGGAGGGAAAAAAGAAACAATTAAATTGGCATTTAATGTTACTCTGCATAGATTCATTACACCCCTAACAGTGAATGGGAAACTTTGGTGAACAACATCATCACTCAAAGCAACAAGTGGGAAAAGCACTTCCCCAAACCACTTTTCATTGTCCTTTTTCTGAATGACCCCTCTGCAATCCAATGATGTCTTTTTGTGTAAGGCAGCAAGTCATTTCTTCAAAGTAACAAATGAAGTAAGATATTACAAATCACATAAAGCTTCTTAAAATAGTTTTGAATGGATCCAATTGCTAAAATATTCTTAATCAGGAAAAACTGTTGAGAGGGAAGCAGAGAATTACAACCATAAAAATAGAACTCAAAGCACCTATTCATATACAACCAGCCCTCAAGTTATGCACAAATTATTTCCAAATTTTACTTGAGAAACACTAGGCAGATTTTGGGACATACAAGCAACATTATGCTGGGTTTCACTTCACACCAGCTGACAAAGGTCACAGATTGACTATGACTGAAAAAAGGGCAAAAGCCATTCTTTGTAAATTGTATCTCTTCCACGTGACCACTTTGATGTACTATTTAAAAGAATCTGAGTTAAGCCGGGTGTGCATGCCTGTGATCCAGCAACTCAGGAGGCTGAAACAGGAGGATCAAGAGTTCAAAGCCAGCCTCAAGCAAAAGCAAGGTGCTAAGCAACTCAGTGAGACCCTGTCTCTAAATAAAATACAAAATGCCCTGGTGATGGAGCTCAGTGGTTGACTGCCCTGAGTTTAATTACTAGTACAAAAAAAAAAAAATCAAAGTTAATATTTTTTCGCTAGCACTTCCAGGATTACTTTTCTGTCTTATATGCATGCACATTAGAATTCTAGAGGGCAAGATGAGTATCCATTTTGATATGTAATACACAGGTGAATGCTTTAGATATTGACATTATCAAAAGCTATAGGAAATGGAATACTGTGAAGCAATTCTGAAAATATCCGAAACATTAAAAAACAGAAAGTAAAAAAGAATAAAGACTGAGATTCTGGGAAGACGGCAGAGTACAAATTCCTGATCCCATCTCATACCCATCTTCCTCCATGAAATACACTAGAACAAAAGCAGACATGCTAGGAAGAGTCCATCTCGGGCCCTAAGTTGCCTTGAGATCTCCAGGGCAGAAAGCCAGGTGGAGGGCGATACTTTCTCAAGTGAGGAGAGAACTAAGGAAGCAATGGCAGGGAAACCTAGATTTTTCTTCGATCTTTGTATAAAGACTCAGGTTTCTTTGTTTCTTAAGGAACCTAGACAGTAAAGACTACGGTTCTGCACATACAGGGGCTGCAGGGATGTACTGAATTGCTCCTAGTTCCTGTAGTTGGGAAAGCAGTGCTATCCACAGAGACAGACTTATAAGCAGAGAGCATACAGCCTAACAGCTGGTGAGATGCTCAGCCCTAAGGGATATACTGCTAGGCCTTCCATTACCAGCTGGATGCCACTGCTTAGGTCTCTAATGGCCTGGTCTATCCAAGAGCTGATGAACACATTTTTAGGCAGTGGAACCAAGTGGAATAGACTACCAGGTGTCTTTTTTTTTTTTTCCTTTTCTGTACCAGGGATTGAACCCAGGGGAGTTTAACCACTGAGCAATATCCCCAGGCTTTTTTATTTTTATTTTATTTTTTAGTTGTAGATGGACACAATACCTTATTTACTTATTATTATTATTTTTTAATGAGGTGATGAGGATCGAACACAGTGCCTCAAACATGTTAGGCAAGTGCTCTATTACTGAGCCATAATTCTCAGCCTCTTGAGTCGCTGGGATTACAGGTATGTGCTACCACACCTGTCTACCAGGTATCTTATTAAAGTGAGATACCAGAGGGAGTACTCTACACAAATGACATATGAACCAAAACTTTAATTTCAAGATTAGAGAAGGTAAAAAACAAACAAAACTGTGTAAAGAGATTTACTGAAGTATTTTAGAATAGTAAAAAAACCCAACAAACACACTAAAACATCCCATCAAAGCCAGTGACCTCAGGGAACAAAAAACCAGCAGAAGCTTCCCAAAGTGTTGGTCAGTAAATGGTCATTGAAGAAAAGAAAGGAAATGAGAATTAGTAACAGGTAAATAGGAGAGATATATGGGGGGTGGGGTGGGGAGAGTGAAGCCAGGCACAGGGGTGCATTGCCTCTAATCCCAGCGGCTCAGGAGGCTGAGGCAGGAGGATTGAGAGTTCAAAGCCAGCCTCAGCAACGACAGAGAGGCACTAAGCAACTCAGTGAGACCCTGTCTCTAAATAAAATACAAAATAGGGCTGGGGATGTGGTTCAGTAGTTGAGTGCCCCCAAGTTCAATCCCTGATATCCAAAAAACCCCCCCAAAACGCCCCCCAAAAGTGAAACAATCTGTGAAAGATGCTGCTGAGATGTACCAGAAAGACATCTCCAGGATTCTGGCCAAGGAAATGATCCTGTCAAGGCTGTGAGCAAGCTCTATAAATGCAAAGTGCACTCAGACTCAGTATTCATAGGGATGAAGAACCAGCTGATGGTTTTGTAAGTGCCAGTCCCCCTCAGAAGAGTAGAGAAGTGATGAAAGTCATGCAGAGTCTCATGAAGATTCCAGAAATCCAAGCCACTGTGTGGCACTATCCAAAAAGACAATGAAGGCTAGGTTCATAGGAGAGATATCAGAGAACACGTTTGAAAGCACTGATGAGCCAGGCACAGTGGTGAATGCTTGTATCCCAGCAACTTGGGAGGCTGAGACAGGAGGATGACAGCCTCAGCATTTTATTTTTATTGTTTTGGTACCAGAGATTGAACTCAGGGGCACTCAAATCACTGAGCCACATCCCCAGCCCTATTTTGTATTTTATTTTGAGACAGGGTCTCACTGAGTTGCTTAGTAGCTTGCTGTTGCCAGCCTCAGCAACTTAGCGAAGCCCTGAGTAACTTAGTAAGATCCTGTCTCAAAAAATAAAAACGGCTGGGAATGTGGCTAAATGGTAAAGCTCCTCTGGGTTCAATCCCTGGTATCAAAAGGGGGAAAAAAAGAAAATAAAGCAAGCACAGATGATCAGGAAAAAATGAAAGAAGCCAAAATGAAAACTGCAAAAAATCTGTTTGAAATTACAGTAAGGGCCTTCAAACCTATATTGAGTATTCTTAGGTCAACCTCTGAATCATATATATCTATTATTGAAATTGAGACTATCACTATCTCCCATGCACTTTGACTTGCAAGTGGATAGAAATTAAAAAATAATTTCCACAAAGCACTTTGTATTCCTTGGAGAATGAATATTATCATCATATATTAAGTGATTACCTTGTAGAATATGCATGATTTCCAGTATCACATAAAGTATATGTAGACATACTTTCCCATCTCATTCCATAATTTGGAGTTGAGTGAAATCTAGGCTATTATATCAAGGGTCAAATACTTAAGAGGTGAAATATAAGCTCCAAAATAATATATAATACTTTTAAAATAATAAATCATTGATGTCCTTACTGGAACTTTAACATTCTCACTTGTTCTGTGAACTAAACTCAGTTACTAATTTTTTAATAATAAATCATACTAGTTATAAATTCAAAGATAAACAAATTTATGAATTTTAAAATGTTAGTTCTTTTTAATAAATCGATGACAATATGTATATTCAGTTGTACAACAGTTTAAATATGTATCTCCAAAAAGAAAAGGTAAATTTTGACATATGGACTGTACAAAAATAATTACTTGAACTTAAATTTTATATTACCTACATGTAATCATAACTAACTTTATATTCAGTGATAACTATCATATTTTAAAATAACAGATAATATTAAAATGAAAGATGAAGTAGCATTGTTTTAACTATAAAACTAATAGTAGCAGGGATTCAATGGTTCTCAAGGGTTCCTATCCATTGAGCTACTCCAAATTTTTATACTCATGTTACCAACCCTTAAACAGGCCAGCTCTAAACTAAAAACTTAATTAAGGTACCCCTGTCCTAGAAGATCAGGCAGAAAGAAAGAGAGAAAAAAAGGAAGAAAAAGGAAAAGAAATACAGGGAAATTTTAAGTAAAGAAATCTGAGTAAAATGCAGTCAGACTTCATGTGCTGATAAAAGAGAAGGTGTTACAAGAGAAATATTTCAGTTGACAAGTAGGTAATTTTGTGAAAACTGTTCAGATTGAAGACACAGTGCATACAATTTATATAAAACTTCAAGAATATGATTAAAGCATATTATAATAAGAGATGATAATGAATTAATATTGTTAAATAATGATAGTAACATAAAAAGTAAGAATTCACGAGTCCCTATTGATATAAGACTTAAGAAATGAATATTGAAATATTTAGGAATAAAGAGGCATCATGCCTGCAACTTAGAAAATAAACTGTAAAAGAGAATTTGGGAAAATGTTAATGTCTGGGGAATGTTGGTAAATGGTATATGAAATCTGCTGTATTACTGGAACTTTCCTGAAATTTGAAATGATATCAAAATAATAGGTAAAAAAAAGATTAGTATTTAACACAGGTACCACTTGTAGATTACCTACAGCCAGGCACAGTATAAGGCATTTTTCTTATATTATTAATCTTTATACCAATCTCTCAGGGCAGGTATTATATCAATCTTTGATTTTAAACAGATAACAAAATAAATGGAAATAAAAATTAAAATGGCCAGTTTGGTCAAGAGAGTAAAACTTCTCTGGCCTCTTGTCAGGCTGTAATTTGTGTCAGACACAAGAAGTTATTCTTTCTTTAACTTCCAAATAAAGAATGCCATTTGGAAAGAATAGTTTCCAATCCTGGGACTTCTGCTGACTTGCCAGCTAACCCCTTTATAACAGGCCCCAACAGCTAACTAATATTTCAGTGTATGAACAAACCCTTAGCACCAAACAATTCATTCAAAACAATTACGTGTGCTGGGGTTGTAGCTCAGAGTTAGAGTGCTTGCCTAGCATATGTGAGGCACTAGGTTCAATCCTCAGCATCACATAAAAATAAATAAATAAAATAAAGGTATTGTGTTCATCTACAACTAAAAATAAATAAATAAATAATAAAAACAATTTATGTAATTAATAGGGTTGATGAAAAAATTGTTCAGGGGCTACAGTGTAGCTAAAAACTTATTTAAGGTACCCCTGTCCTAGAAGATCAGGCAGAAAGAGAAATAAAAGGAAGAAAAAGAGGAAAATAAATACAGGGAAACTTTAAGAAATCTGGGCAAAATGTGGTCATTCAAAGGTGAATGAAGGGGGCTGGGGATGTGGTTCCAGCGGTAGAGCGCTCCTCTGGCATGTGTGCGGCCTGGGTTCAATCCTCAGCACCACATACAAACAAAGATGCTATGTCCGCCGAAAACTAAAAAATAAATATTAAAATTCTCTCTCTCTCTTTCTCTCTCTTAAAAAAAAAAGGTGAATGAAAGGAAGAGAGGGGGAATGGAAATAGGAAAGACAGTAGAATGGATCTGACATATCTTTCCTTTGTGCATCTATTAATACATGCACACCATGTGCTGAGAAAGGGAAGGAGTTATAAAGAAAATATTTCAGTTGACAAATAGATAATTTCATGAAAACCCCGTTCAGATTAGGTAGTAGAGTACTTGCTTAGCATGTGCAAGGTCCTAGATTCCATATGTAGAACCGTATAAAAAACAACAAAAGTTCAAAACAAGTTAAACTTGAACATTATTTCTTTTTTTTTTCCTTTAAAAATCCAGTCCTCTTTTCCTTTGATGGAACACTTGTTTGGTTTCTAATTGAATCTGTGTTACCAATTTGCAAATTTACCCTGTGCCCAAATAAAAGCTGCTTTTGCTTTTATTTTAACCTCATTTAAGATTTCTTGGTTTACAAAAGTTCCAAGAAGTTTCTAAGAACAGAAATCAATTAGCATGGCTAGGTTTCAAACCAAATCATACTCCAAAGTTTGAATTCTTTCTACAGGGTGGAAAGTACAAAAATGGTTTATATACAGCATTTGCTCTACATTTGTATCCTCAACATTATCTATTAGTTATACGATGATGGGCAAACTACTTAGTTTCTTGTTTGTTCTGGATACAGTGTCTGTATCATGGGCTATTTGAGAGGATTAAATAAAATGTGCATGCCAAACACTTTAGAGCAGGATCAGAGCCCATAAAAAGAATACAAATGTTTATGGTTGGGGCTGGGTTTTGGCTCAGTGATAGAGTGCTTGCCTAGTACAAGCGAGGCACTGGGTTCGATCCTCAGCACCACATAAAAAATAAGTAAAATAAAAGCACTATGTCCAACTACAGCTAAAAAATAATTTTAAAAAATGTTTATAGTTGTCATGTACTTTATTCTACCTTTTCCTGAAAAGCAGTGCTTCACACACTGCTTAATTCTAAAGCATAGAAACCATACCTAGTCATTACTTTTTTACTATCATAAAATATATAAAAATTTCAAACTTAAGACAATCAATTCAAACTAACAAATGTTTCTTAATTTAAGCAAGAAACTAGTTCAATGGTATTATAGATAATATTAAATATTACTGTAGTAGATTTTCTATACCTGCTGTAACAGAAACCATGGTTATTTAAGTGGTAAAACAATCAGATTATGTTCAAGATTGTTTTCTATTAAAAATGAAAATTAAAATATTAAGTATGAATTAACTGGAAAAATAACCTATGTTAAATAGCCTAATTCCAATAATTATGGAAATAAATGTTTTGGGCTTCAAATGTCTCTTTAAGGGAAGGTCACAGTATACACATTACTATCTAGTAAAATTCTCATCTTTAAGGAGGATGACTTGACTTTCACTTCAGTTAGTAGAGTTAACTTCATCTGTTCATTAAATGTTATGTGCAAACACCAACAAAGCAAAACAAAAAAATTATTCCTACCTTATTGTTTCTTCTATCAGACGATCTGAGCTAAAAAAAAAAAAAGAAATTCAAATCCTGGAATTATTAAATAAATACATTTTAAAAACTTGTACTTAATTTTTCTACATTTGTAGACCAACTTTTCAGCCATATGTAAAAATACCTAGATTTTTTTAAAAGTATCTGAAGAAAATTCTAGACTCTGAAATTAACTTACCCACATGGATATAATGTATATTTTACTTTTATTAGCTTAAATATTTTCCCACAGTAGATACCTGTTTGTTAAAGTCAGAACAATTTTTGTGTGTGGGGATTGAACCCAGGCGTCCTCTAGTACCGAGCTACATCCTCAGTCCTTTTAAATTTATTTTTTATGTTTTTATTTTGAGACAGTGTCTTGCTAAGTTACTGAGGTTGGTCTAGATCCCCTACCTCAGTCTCCCGAGTCACCGGGATTACAAGCATGCATGTCCAAGCCTAGCTAAATCAGAACGATTTTAATGACAGCATAAAGAAATAGAAGTTCTTTAATCTAGATAACTCCAAATGGACACCACCATCTTTATTCAAAACTTAACAATTACAACCAACTGGCTCAGACAGGATAAACAAATACAGTTCTGATGCCTGTAAGAGCAACAGGGGCTTAAAAAGGCTGCCTCTGCTAAAAGTGCCCTTTACTTAGACCTGCTGATGCCTATTGGGTAACTAAAAACAGGACAGAATTTGGCATCTGTGCCTTCATTTTATATTTGTTTTCAGGTTCCTGGTCAGCTCTGCATGTAGGAATGTGAAACATTTAAGAAGCATCCATCCAAATAAGACTTATTAGTCCTAAAATTAATTAACCTATCATATCCCCCTTGATGACTAAGATGAGATTTTCAGGGACTACCAGCATTTATGGCATCAGACCCTTAGAAAGGTATCTAGAAGTTTCTTGTCCCCTTCCTGGATGGACCACAGGTCTGATAAACATCCCCAGCAACAAAGTGGAACTAACACCCTTCAGGCAAAAAAGAACTCCTCCAGAGTCACTTCATAGAACCAGAACTGAGAGAATGATCATCTAGACCATAGTCTGATCAAGATTGCTTAATTAGGTTGTGGGTCAGTGGTGGAGTACCTGCCTAGCATGTGTGAGACACTGAGTTCAATTCTCAGTACCACATATAAACAAACAAACATCAACAACTAAAAATTATATATATGCTGTTTAATTATGTACACCTCTTGCTTCCTACCCCAATTCTTCCTCTATTTAAACTCAGGGCTGAGATGCTGGATCTTACTTTGTCTTCCAATGTAGTGACTAAAGTTCTTTTCTTGCTTTTCACCATTATCTTTTCTGTTTTTTCGGTTTTGGGTTTTTTTTTTTGGAGGGGGAGGGGCAAGTGGCTGGACATGATTTGTTGGGACCCCAGAGTCAGGCCTCTGGCCTAGAACTCCAGTAACGAATATAGTAATTATTTACATCTTAAAGTTCCTTCCATTTTTGGGAAAGAGTTGTTTTGGAAACTGAACCAAGCCTCAGCTTACTAAACTTCAGAATGTAAGAATATGACTAAAGACAGCAAATATATATCTGTAATCTGTATGCTTTTATGCATCACACACTGAAAAGAAAGAAAAACAAAAAAAGTAATATTAGGGAGGAATTTATAGGTAGCTTAGTTTGGTAGAGGTGCAACTTTATAGTGGAAAGTAGGAAAATAAACTTTCAAATGAGGTCTATATTCATTTGGCACAGTACAAAATACACAATGGGCATGCAAATACTGCATGTTTTTTTCCCAGCTACTCTTTCCTAAAGAATTTTTAAGTTTATTCTCTAAAATAATAAGTTAAAGCTTAATTATAAAATGGAATAGAAACTCAAGTTACTGCATGAATAAAGGAACCAAGATGGGCTTTAAAATGTCATAAATAGCCAGGCGTGGTACTGGTTTGGGAGGCTGCTGAGGCAGGAAGATAGCAAGTTCAACGCCAGCCCCAGCAACCTAACAAGGCCCTAAGCAACTTAGTGAGACCCTGTCTCAAAAAACCTTAAAAGAGCTGGGTGGGAATGTGGCTCAGTGGTTAAGTGCTCCTGGGTTCAACGTCTGGTACCAGCAAAAAAAAAAAAAAAAAAAGCCTAAATACCTTGTAAAAATCCTGTGATTAAAAATTTTAAAAATTACAAAGGGTGGTTAAAAGCCAGACTGTGTGCTGTATGGCAGTTTAAATGCTGGTTCTCTGGGCTGGGGATGTGGCTCAAGTGGTAGCGTGCCATGCCTGGCATGCGTGCGGCCCGGGTTCGATCCTCAGCACCACATACCAACAAAGATGTTGTGTCCGCCGAGAACTAAAAAATAAATATTAAAAATTCTCTCTCTCTCTCTCTCTCCCCCCCCCACTCTCTCTTTAAAAAAATAAATAAATAAATAAATAAATAAATGCTGGTTCTCCCACTTATTAGTTGATATTAGGCAGGTTTCTCTGTGCCTCAATTTTCTTATCTGTAAAGTGGCAATATTAATAAACCCTATTTATTCAGAGAATTAAAAGAGTTCATATATGTAATGATTATATCAGTATGTGGCATGTAGTAAGCACTGAGTGTTTTTTGGCTCATTATGGTAATTTCTCAATAACTACAGATTAATTCTGAATCCAAGCATAAAGTTGATACAAATTTCCATATAATTTCCTATTCTGATGAAATCTATGCATTTATTCTTTTACAAATGTGTACAAAACTGCCCCTGAAGGGTACTGGGTCACACAGTGGCTATAAAAATAAGGCCACTACTATAGATCTTAAATGGAGACAGGCAACACACAGACCAAGAGCTGTCCTGGCAGAATGTCGAAAATAGGGTGATTAACTCAGGTTAATAGTTCCTTGTTCAACACAAAGGTTTGACTGAATGTTCTCATCAGGGCCTCCTAGTATATTAAAAGGCATAAAAAATAAGATATTTCAAAATACAGACAGTATAATACAAAAATAAGAATTCTATTGCCAAGCTCAACAAACTAGTTTTGTGCTAATAGCCTCGATGAAGATAAAAATCAATGAAATAGACTTTTAAATTAAGTGTTTGAGAGCAATCTATTAATTTGCTAATTTTGTTAAGAATAATAACAGTTAATTCTTATAAGTGCTTATAAGGAGCCATGTCCTCTCCTAAATGACTGTTTTAACTTAATCCTCATAACAGCCCTAGGAGACTGATTCTACCATTCTCTTCATTTACAAATAAGGAAATTGAGGCCTAGAGACAGGAAATCACAGTTATGGGGCACAGCCAGGATTCAAACTGAAGCAGATTGACTTCTGAGATTTGGCTTTTGCTGTTTCAGTAAAAGATAGTTCTCTTTCCCTCTCTCCTTCTCCACAATCAGTCTCAGTTTTTCCCTACTTCTAAAGTATCTCTCATTTCTACTCTAGCAAGAATCACACAAAGACCTTGCTAAGAGGATGAAAAGAAACTTAAGAGAAAATATTTGCAAACCACAGGTGACCAAAGATTAGTAACTTAGAATAATATGGTTAAAATAAAAACAATTCACGTAGAAAATGGGTAAAAGACATGAAGACATTTCACTAAATGGGACATGCAAACAGCAAGCACACAGAAAGCTGTTCTATATCATTAGCCATTAGGGCGATGCAAACTACAATGAGGTATCACTACACACTTGTCACAATAGCTAAAATAAAAAAAATAGGTGAGATCACCAAATGTTGATGGGGATGTGTAAAATTGGATCATTCATATATTACTAATGAAACTGTAAAATGTATGCAATCACTCTGAAAAACAGTTTTGTAGTTTAGAAACTAGCTTAAAAAACTAAACATGCAACAACATTGTGACCCAAAAAAAACAAACTCCTGGGTATTTATCTGAGAAATGAAAACTTATGTTTACACAAAAACTAACACGGATATTTATAGCAACTTTATTCATAAGAGTCAAAAGCAAGAAACAACCTAGATGTCCTTCAATGGATGAATAGTTACTCAAACCATAGTACATCCATACCATGAAATACTACCCAGTAATAAAAAAGGAGATGGGAGGGGATGGGGTTGTAGTTCATGGGTAGAGGGCTTGCCTAGTACATGTGAGATTCGATCCTCAGCTTTACATAAAAATAAATAAAATAAAGGTATTGTGTCCATCTACAACTAAAAAATATTTTTAAAAAGGTGGAGGGGAGGCCATTAATACAAGTGACAACCTGGATCAATACCCAGAGAATTATGCTGAATGAAAAGTCAATCTTATTACTCCAGAGGCTGAGGCATAAGGATCACTTGAGGCCAGCTTGGACAACATAGCAAGACTCTAATAAAACAAAAACAAAAACAAAAAAAGCAATCTTGAAAGGTTACGAACTGTATGATTCCACACATATATAACATTCTTGAAATGACAAAATTATAGTAATAAAGAATAATGCTTGTCAAAGCCTAATGAGGATGGTAGAAGGAGGAAGGGAAATAAGTACTTATGTTTATAAAGGGCAAATAAGGGATCCTAATTATAAAAGAAGTGCTTCATATTTTGATTATATCAATGTCAATATCTGGGTTGTAATACTGTATTATAATTTTACAAGATGCTACCACTGGAGGAAACTGTTAAAAAATATATGGGATTTCCCTGTATTATTTCTTACAATTGCATGCAAATCCATAGTCAAAATAAGAAATTAAAAATTCAAAAGCAAAAGTACTGAACAAAGTATCAAACAACAACCATAAAAACTCAATGCTAATTAGATAGAATACAAAGCTACATACCTTAAGTAGCAAACAATGTGAAGCAGCATTTAGAAAAACTTAAAAACTATTCTGTGGAAATACATTTCTACCTAACTCAGTGAATGCCTGGAAAGAAATGTAAAAATACAAAGCCAAGTATTTAGCACCAATCACCAGAAAGCCAGCAAGATACACTTCATTATCTGCTTTCCACAGATTTGAAGGTTTAATAATATTTCTCTTGAACCTGTTCTCAACCATAAAGTCAGAGCTAAAGTTTAGTAACTAA